GGGATTCTTTGATATACTTGGGGTGGTGAGGTTGTGCGGATTTTAGTGCATTAACCTTCTGAAATACAATAGTTTGTCCTTCACGAACTTTACAAACCGTTAGTTGGACAAACCCTTCTGCAATTCTCAGAATCACTTTGCCTGCAGCTTGCTAATTTATGTCTGCTTGAGACTTCTTGTCTTGTGGTCTGTTGGGAAATTGTCTTTACAAAAAATATTTCTACTAAAATTTTAATATTGATTTTAATATCAATTAGCTCTAAAAGTTGAGGGGCCGCACTTTGTGGCTATGGGGGCCGCATGTTTGACATGGCTCGTGTATAGGATAAAGAAACTGAAAAAGCCGCCAAGCACCGACAAACAGCTGTAGAGCCATAATGACGATGATGATGATAATAATGATAACAATATGCAAGTATCAAAATGTGGGATCAGAAATTGTTTTGAAAGACACGTTTCGAAACATGTAAACCAACTTTTAAGGAGCAGATTCTGCACACACATACGTCTGATGTATTGGATCGTTACGAATAAAAATTAAATTAGCTTGCCGACTTTTCGTGCGGACTACTATACTTAATTTAATCGAAATCTGTTAGTTATTTCTGAAGACTGCAGTCAGCCCAATACACTAGTCTAGATAGCTGCCTGCTGTGACGTGGCACGGTGCGCTCTTCTGCGTGGATACTGGCTGTATCGGCAGGCCGAACCTGCTTGCGTTCACTGCACTTTGTGTACAAAATAAACACAGCGAAAACAGTGCCTCTTCGTACGGTCTCGCAGAGCCACCTGTTGCTGCGCTTGTAATGGCTGACAGCTGAGTGAGGGTGGACAAACCGACGTTGCTGAGATCGCAGGACGAAAAGCAGATGCATGTGAATTTGCTGGAGGTAAAGTTGTCCCTGGTGCCGGCCACGGTAGCCGAGCGTGCACTGTCTTCGCTCGCTCGTAAGCCGGGATCGTGGGTTCGAATCCCGTTCAGGGCATGGATGTTTGTGTGGGGTTTTCTGTGTTTGTGTACAGGTAGAGGCCTTGCGACGAGCTGATCACCCACCCAAGGAGTCCTACCGTATGTCTAAGATCTAGAAAAAACCGAAGTGAACGGAGAAGTTCATGGAGGTAGGCCTAGGCCCACTGGGGCTGTAGTGCCAAAAGAAAA